AGTACTCTTCCAGAGTTCTGATTTATTCAATTCAGTAAATGTCAGTCAGTGGATGAAGCTCCTACAAGAATATAAAATAGAAATAATACATTTATTATATTACTATAAAATTGTTGTGGGCATTAAGTGAGATAATATACACAAAGAGATGGGAACTCAACAGGCTTTGTTCAGTGTCAGTGATTTCTATTATTTGCTATTAACCTAATTCAAGTTTCAATTTGTGCTCTCTATCTAAGACCCTAAGCATTCTGCAAAAATGCCAGGAAGGTAAAGGGCTTCAGATCCCCCCACTCCCCTGCTCAACCAAAGTGTTTCATCTGACATGTAAAATAGGTAAAAGGTTTACGATTTTCACTTGAAAAAAGGGTTCCACTGCTAGTAAAAGTTTAAAAACTACATTTATGATACAAGCTCCTCTCTGTTACAAAGATTTGCATTCCACCAATGACAAACATGTGGCTTATCTGCTACTTTCTTCCTGAGGAGTGATGGCAGAATTTTACTCATTCATTGAGTAATCCAGATTCCAACTCCGATCCTGCCACAATATAGTATTTCCAGATGAAAATGACTTGCTATCCCTTGCTTTATAATATTCTTGCTAAATACCAGGCTTAGCTAAAATTGTATGTAACTACCCTAATAAGAAGTGGAAACACCATAGTTTAAGGAATTACATTAAGAAAAGAATGTAAAGCTGGGTATCATCTTGATATTTATCATTGTAAGTGATAATCTCAAATACTTCAGACACAAAAGAGATGAACACCTAATTACGAAGGAAAAAAAAGAGGATGAACACCTAATTAAAAGAAAAAAAAAAGAGATGAACACCTAATTAAAAAGGGAAAAAAATGAACACCTAGTTAAAAGGGAAACAAAATTTAAAAATTAATTAGGAACACCTAATTAAATCATCTGGACCTTACACTGTTGTTTTTGAAAGTACTAAGAAAAAGCAAACTATAAGAACTACCTTTCAAGTTTCTAGTTAAATAAGATTTCCGAAATAAGATAAAAATTATCTCATTAGTAGAAGTTGTACCTACATAGAAAATAACTAAATTACAAGAGTTAAAACCCTACTCTATCTTAAGATGATATCTATTAAAAATAGAACATTCCTACAGATGGTCAAAAAGCACATGAAAAGATGCTCAACATCACTAATTATTAGAGAAATGCAAATCAAAATTACAGTGAGGTATCACCTTACACGGGTTGGAATGGCCATCATCAAGAAGTCTACAAACAATAAATGCTGGAGAAGGTGTGGAGAAAAGGGAATCCTCATACACTGTTGGTGGGAATGTAAACTGGTACAAACTGTACAACCACTATGGAGGTTCCTTAAAAAACTAAAGACAGAACTACCATATGATCCAGCAATCCCACTGCTGGGCATATATCCAAAGAAAACCAGAATTCGAAAAGATACATGCACCCTAATGTTCACTGCAGCACTATTTACAATAGCCAAGACATGGAAGCAACCTAAATGTCCATGACAGAGGAATGGATAAAGAAGATGTGGTACACATATACGGTGGAAAATTACTCAGCCATAAAAAAAATGAAATAACGCCACTTGCAGCAACATAGATGGACCTAGAGATTATCATACTAAGTGAAGTCAGTCAGAGAAAGACAAATATCATGATATCACTTATATGTGGAATCTAAAAAATGATACAAATGAACTTATTTACAACACAGAAATAGACTCACAGACTTGGAAAACAAACTTATGGTTACTGAAGGGGTAAGGTGGGAGGGAGGGATAAATTAGGAGTTTGGGATTAACATATACACACTACTATATATAAAATAGACAATCAACAAGGACCTACTGTACAGCACAGGGAACTCTACTCAATATTCTGTAATAACCTATATGGGAAAAGAATCTGAAAAAGAATGGATATATGTATAACTGAATCATTTTGCTGTATACCTGAAACTAACACAACATTGTAAATCAACTATACTCCAATATAAAATAAAAATTAAATTAAAAAAAGAACATTCTTAAGTTATTAAAATTATGTAAAAAAAAAAGGTATTATTTCACAACTGCTCCAGATTTCAATCTGACATATTCCATTATGAATAAAAGAAAATACACTCAAAATACCTTTTGCTTTTCAGGAACATCTTCAAGTTCTATTTTTCTCCTTTTCTGAGTGCCATCTCCAGTAGGTTCATCTTCTGGAAAACCATCAGTTTCCATTCTTCTTTTCCTTGAAATGCCTTCATCACCACCAGAACCTTTTTCCTCTGGGGCAATTTCAGCATCAAGTTTTCTTTTCTTGGATGGAGTGTCTTCCCCACAACTAGAACTTTCCTTTACAAGATCATCTTCAAACTCCATTTTTCTCTTTTTTGGAGTGTCTACTTGCCCACAAGTAGGAGCCTTTTCAGAAAGCCCAGTCCCAGGAGAGGTTGTGTTTTCATTAACAATGCATGAAGACTCTGTTTCTGAATCTATTGATGTTTTTGCCTCTTCACGAGAGATCTTTTCACATTCCTCTGCTTTTGCAGAATTTTCCATTTTTGATTACTTAAATAGATGGTAAAACTTCATGAACTAACACTGGAATGGCAAAAATTTCATATTACTTGTAAACGTAATGCTAAGACTGTAAAAACAATTTAAACCAGAAACTAGTCATTTAATTTCAGCGATCAACTAAGAGTTTAAAAAACCTCATTAAAGAATATTGAAAACAATATTGATATATATTGCATATGAATTTCTGAAAATGCTAATGTGGAAGTACTAATTATAATCCCAGAACACTTCTACAATCTTGTCCATAAAAGTCACCATTGGCATTAAAACTGACGAAGTCGTGGTAAATGAAGTCAGTTCCATTTCTATCCTGATCCTTACCCTACAGCCTTGGTTCCCCAAATGTGCGATGGACACTATAACAAACTGATATGGACACAGGAGAATATTTCAAAATTTAAGGCAAAGGTAGTGACATCTGACATCTGGAAAATATCACAGATACAGCTTCAAATAGAGCATAGTTTTAACTGAGTAGATTGCACTACATTTCTTTAAATGACACCAGAACCTTGTGAAGCTGAGACTGGTGGTACCACAGAAAATCAGTGTAAAACAGGAAACGAAGTTGATGTCAAATCCGATCTCAAGGCTTGAGAAGATATCCAGTACTCAACAGATGTACATATTCCACTAGTATGCATTCGTGGTTAGCTAAGAATTAAACACAATTTTTTTTCAATCCATGCATTATTTTTAAATACAAAGTTGTTAGGACACGCTTATTAAATTGTTTGGACTAAACTATTTAGTAAGGGAAACTGCTAGGTATTTCTTTTGGCCTAGGGACACTGAAAGCCAAGAACAGGAGAAGTCTGGGAACCTACAGTTGACTTCTAAAATCCTTACTTTGTAATGGGTGTCAGAATTAGGTAGAAAGTGAAGAAAGTAGAAATGGGTGGACAAGAAGTTTCAAGACCCAGCCTGCAACTTAATGACCATTAGTCTCTTTCAAATGTTCTTAAGCCTATGTGTGAAATGGGAGGGGGAGAAAAATAAGTGAGCTATTTATTGGACAGAAATTTATTAAGTCATTCAACAAGCTGAGTGAACGCCTACTACAGAGAAGCTCAATAAGACACTATGTGAATTAGTCTTCAAGAAGTTTACAGCTGATATACTATTAAAATGTTAGGCTGTATTATTCAAACCAAATGTAAAAGAAAAAGCAGAAGTCCAAAAATCAGTGAGATTCAGCAAATTCAGAACCTGAAAATTATGAAGCGGGGGGTGTTCCCTGTAAAGAAACAGAATAAGAAATAAAGTCGCTTAATGGAATGGGTAAAAACAAGTCACTCTAAACCGGGAAGGGTTTCAAGGGATATTAACTTTCACTACCCAAGGTTTGAGGTAACAAAATACCAAGACGTGCCAAAACAGGAAGAAATGAATCAGAGAGAAAAAAATTACCCAGAAAAGTAATTTTATGAATACTGCTTAAAATGATTATCTAGTAAAACTATCCACCAAATTATCAAGTCCCTATCCTCTCCTCCCTACCATTTATTTCTTAATAAGGAAATAGAAACTGGTTTTAATTTCAAATGAACCAATGTAACTTATCCTTAGCTATAAATAATTTTAGCTGTAAATGTAATATCTAAATTCACTGTTGGGAATAAAAGTTAATTTTATTTATATTTATCTGTGATATTTCCACAGATGAGATGGTCTAAAGACAATTCGGTCAGAATAAACGACACGGATTTCCAAACGAACCCAGAGATGGATAAGACTGAGGCCGAACGTCTAAGGTGAACAAAGAGTAAGGTCCAGGCCCAAGAGGGCTGTCCTTCGGAACCCTCGAGGAAGAACTCAGGTAGAGAGTCGACAGATAACACAGATGCGCATGAACGACCACACCTGCATCTCGGTGACCTGCGCGGCAGTCACACCCGAGGTTTCACGGGAACCGCCAGCCCGGGGACTCGAGCTCAAGCAGGTGAGCTCCACGCCCAACCCGCCGGCGGGCCGGGTCTCTTCGAGCCCGAGGACTCACTGAGCTGCCCCGGCGCCGCCCGGCTCAGGTTCCAGTCCACTACGCAAGCCAGGCGGCCGGCCGCTCCGGCTCCGGCAGCCCAGCGGGCCTGAAGCCGCTCTAGGGCCTTCCGAACCCGGGCCGGCTCTGCGCGGAGGGGCGTCAGCGCCCACGGACCCGGCACTGCCAGCGGTCTGAGGGCCCCTTCCACCGGGTCGGGCGCGGCTACACACAAAGAGTACGAAACCCAGCGTTGCAACCACACACTCACCGTCCAGCCATCCGCGACTCTGTTTGCGGAAGCGGCTCCGCGCCACGCGCACGCTGTGACGCCACTTCCGGAGAGCGCGGGTCTTGCGTCCCGGAACCCCGAGTCCCGGCGTGCCGCGCGCGCCGTGCTGAGGGCGCCGGCAAGAGCGGTGCGAGCCAGTGGTTGGTGGGGCCGGTGTGTTGGGCGGGCAGGCCGGAGGCCGGGTCGCCTGAGCACGCGGCTTTCGGCGCCCTGACCCACGCTCGGCTGGTGGCTCTGCGGAGGGACACGGCGGGGGCTCCAAGCGGCCGCACGGCGGGGAGCGGCGGCGGCGGCGGCCTCAGGTCCTGAGGTATCCTGGGTCGAGGCCTCTGGGGGCAGGGCCGGGCAGTCGGCGGGGCCTCCTCAACGTGGTACGCGGCGGTGAGCGCCCCCGGGGCGGACAGAGGTCACCCCGCCCTTCGCTGTGCGCCGGTGTCCTGCAAACCCTGTCTGTGGGGCGGTTTTCCAGCCTCCGCTCTGCCATCTTCACCCTTTGCTCTGCCTTTACTTGGACGCCGGCCGGGAGGGGCCTGAGAGCCCCCGCGCTCGGACTTGATTCGGAAACGCGCGGCGCCCTACTTCTCCCCGGGGACCGCGTGTCGCTCCCTACCGCCGCATTCGGGAGGTTCAGCTAGACTTCTCTCGAGAGGGCCGTTCTCATCTGTCAGACTCTGAAGGAAGGGGCAGCCCACACCTGTTTAGGAGAAACGCCTTCCTGGTAGTATCTGTGTTTTCTGGATTTTGGTATGGGATGGTTGGGGAGTCAACACGCTTTGTTCGTCCTTTCCCTTAAATATCTACTGGAGAGTCGCAGGTACCTGCTTGCCACCCCAGACTGGGGTCAAAACTGTGCCTGTGGACCTAAAATTGTTGATGCTTTGTGCCTCAGCACCTCCCACCTGAAGGGTGTAAAACGGGATCAGAAATACGTTTTCCATTATTCTTCATGAAAATTGATCCGTTTAAAAGCAGCTTTGGAAATAGGTTCACTAGCCTGCATACTTGTCAGTAGACGCAGTTATATTAGCCACTAGACTTCGCCTGGGGGAAAGCAACATTCGCAGCATGTACTTTACAATCGAGTCAAAATTCTAAATTGTGGGCACTAACCTTTCTGAGGTTGTTGACCGCTTATAAACTTTGGACCAAGAATGAAGTCTGTTTTTAATGAATGAGGATGAACCATCCATTTCAGATGACTGTACTTGTATTTTTTTTTTATTATGTGCAGTGAACTAAGTTGAGAATTAACCAGTTCATTATTTTTTTTTCGAGGTTGATTTTTTTTTTTTACCATAGTGATGCATGCACCTTTGATACTTACCGCCCTCATAACACAAGTAAGATTACTTGAGTATGTGTCTGTAAATACTCTTTATGCATACAAAATAGCCAGTGATCCATCCTTCCAAGAAAGTTTAAGCATCAAACCTAAAAATTCAGCTAAATGTATCCTTACTTATTTCTCTAAACATAAATTAGTGGCCTGCCACAGCTGACGTGTAGAAAATCACTATGACGAAATGTCTCTTCCTCAGTGTGATTTAGTAGTACTTGTTACTTTTCACAGCGTATTGGGAAAATATATTTTTCCACATGGCATATTTTTACTTTTCTCTTTGTTGTTTATTTTTATAGTAGGTTGTTTTGCTCTCCACCTGAGTTCATCATTATTGACAACTGCAAAGGTCATCCTAGAGATTGAATGTGTTATTGCGTATTCATGCATTTAGAACTGGCTAATTACATATCCATATATGCTGGTTCCAATGCTAAAGTTTCTTATGATAGTTGCTGTTGTAATTTTATGGAAAAGGAATCTAATTTTGACTTTTTAAGAAATTTTCTCATTAGATTAAAAGCCTCCTAACTATATGTTTATACAAACTCTACCGTGAATTGATGTTGTGAATGAGATATATAGAGATCACATTTTGTAGTTTTTATTAAAGTTAACTAGAAGTCAAGTAGATTCAGTTGAGAGTATTTCTGAACCAGGTTCGTTTTGCCCAACTCCCAGCAAGCCAAACACTGAGATGCTCAGGTTCGCAGCAAAGAGAGGGTTTATTCACAAGGCAAGCAAGTGAGGAGACAGGAAAACTAGTCCATCTATCCTAAAGCGAAGGGCTCTGGGTATTTATGGGATAAAGAATAAAGAAGTAGGGCTGTCTGAGGTGGGAGTGTGGGGAAAGGTGATTGGAAAAGGGTGTAAGGCAGGTTACAGGTGAAATGGATTTAATGATTACCCACTGGTTTCAAGAATAGAGGATGAACTCTTGAAGGTAGTAGTGATCGAGAGAGTAAATGGGCTAGATAAGATATTTTAAAAGTTACCATTGGTGTTATGTTTCCCACCATTGCCTGAGTAATAAATGGTTTTCTGGAAGTTGAATTAAAATAATAATAGCTGATAGTTTAGTACCTTCTGTGTGCCAAATTAAGTGCTTTATACATTTGAAGTCATTTAACTCTTACATTTTCAGTGGGATAGTTGTTATGATTATTTTTGTTTTATAGGTGAGGGGTAAGTAACTTGTCCAACGTCATGCAACTGGGAAGTAGTGGTGGGCTAGGTTTTGGATCCAGGCGGCCTGACTCCAGAAATCAGACTCTATGCTAATGATGAAACAGTGCCAGTTTAAGGCCAGACTCAGAACTGGAAGTTGACTGAAACATAGTAGATTTTCAGAAAATGTTTTGATACTTCTTAATGCTTGGGTTATTATGTTCAGAGAGAAAATAGCTGGATAAGGATGTTGTCTTGCTAGCGTATGAACTCTAGCAAGACAGGGATCATCATTTTGTTCAGTGGTTTAACCCAGGTGCCTTGAGCAGTGCCTGGCACATAGTGGGGTGGTAATGGATGAATGAATAGCCTAGAGAGGTTTTTAAAAATCCCATTTTTTTTTTTGAAAGGACATGCAGGATTTATTTCAGCCTATTTATAAGATTTCTTTATGTGCTGTTTTGATTATTTGGTCCATTATTCACCCAGACTGGTTTGGATTTCTCCTGGTTTGTATTGGGTTGGCCAAAAAGTTCATTTGGGTTTTTCCATAAGATGTTATACTTTTGTCAGTGAGAGAAAATGAAGTAGTAATTTGTAAGTTTTCTGGTCAGACTAAAGGCAAGCAACAGTTTCAATAGATACCATCCCTTAAAGTGAGAGCACTCAGAGGTGGGTAATTTTAAGGTGTCATTTCTGTTGTGGAGTTGAAGATCACATTTTTGAAACATAAAAATTGTTTTTAAAATGTAGATACAATGTTATAGCTTCCTAGGAATGATAGTGTTCTTGGAGGTAGGAAAGAGAGGTGGTTGTAGAAGCTGTGTTTCTCCAAATAGTTTTGGAAGAACTGTTCATTCCTTCAGTCCGCTCAGTCGAAGTGTCCCTACTGAAATTTTATTGCCTTTTTTGAACACATAAGATATTATTGTTTAAAAGGTTTTTCCTGTAATAGAAAGTAAAGATTTGCTTGAGAAATCTGTAAGTTTATATGTGTGATGATTAGTTTTATATGTTAACTAGACATGGCTATAGTACCTATTAAGTGATACTGTGATGGTATTTTGAAAATGTGTCAACATCTAATCAATTGACTTTAAGGAGATTACCCTCCATAATACGGGTGGGCCTCATTCAATCAATTGAAAACCTAAATTTCAAACTGAGGTGCCTCAAGAAGAAAAAAATTCCAAGGCTGTGGCATCAATTCTTTTTTTTAAAAATTTATTTATTTAATTTATTTATTTTTCGCTGTGTTGGGTGTTCATTGCTGCATGCGGGCTTTCTCTAGTTGCGGCGAGCTGGGGCTACTCTTCGTTGTGGTGCACGGCTTCTTACTGTGGTGGCTTCTCTTGTTGTGGAGCATGGGCTCTAGGCGCACGGGCTTCAGTAGTTGTAGCATGCAGGCTCAGTAGGTGTGGCTCGTGGGCTCTAGAGCACAGGCTCAGTAGTTGTGGTGCACGGGCTTAGTTGCTCCGCGGCGTGTGGGATCTTCCCGGACCAGGGATGGAACCCGTGTCCCCTGCACTGGCAGGCGGATTCTCAACCACTGCATGTGGCGTCAACTCTTGTATGAGTTTCCAGCCTGCAAATCCACTCTACACATTTCAGATGTGTAGCCCTCACAATTGTGTGAGCCAGTTCCTTAAAATAAATATATCTATTTAAATAAACAATCTAATAATAGATTCCCAATAGGTAGATATAGATATATGTATATGTTTTTTCCTGTTGGTTCTGTATCTCTGGAGAACCCTGTCTGATTCAGATTTTGGTACTGAGAGTGGTTCTAGAGGAACAGAATCTTAAGGATGAATTTTGTGGATTGGTTATGGCATTCCTGAAATTGGTTCTCTAATGTGATTAGATTTAAAGGCACCCTTGACTATTTTCAGTGGTAAAGAAGGCAGGCACTGTAGCCCACGATGTGATATGACAATAGAGATATGCAAAATACCACCATTGGATACTACTACTCAGATACTTAATGAAAGACCAGGTTCTGGGTGATCATGTATTTGAAGATTTAAAACATTTTTCCCAGATGATGAACAAGTGTAATGAGACTGACTGGTTGCTCTGTTTTCGGAGAAAGGGGGGTAGGAGGTGGAGAGTGATGAGCTCAGGTCTTGAAATTCCCAGCTCAAGCTCTGTATAAATGACCAGAAAGTTTCTATGTCTGCCCTTCTCACATAGATGCAGAGCTGAGATTGCTGAAAACCAAACTCTTATCCTGCAGAGTGGCTGGATTACAATGCAAAATGAATTCCCATTCTAACAGGGTGTCTGCTGTTAAAATGAGAGCATTGACTGGGGAAGGTTGAGATCCTCAAATTTGGAATGGAGTATTGAACCCCTAAGTTTTCATTAGTCTTCTCTGGCGGTAGAAGCAGTCTTTCCACTCCTGTTTGAGGAAGTTAACCTGTAATGACCTTCCCTGAAGGCTAGACATTGCTGATTGATTCTCCTCAAGAACTACCTCTACCACACTTCTTTGCTTCTAGACCTATAACTAGATTCCCACCCTAACAAGCCCTCAAGGGTCAGCTACAAAGTGTGACCTGAGGGGGTGTGCCATACTCTTAAAAAATGGCAGGAATGTTTATTTGTTTATACACATGGAAATCTGGGGGATATGTTTAGGAATGGATATTAAGGATGTGGGATAATGGTGGAAGGAACATAAAGTTGGGCCGGGCTAAATTTACTGATATAGGCCCACTAAGCAGAGATTCTTGATTCACTTTTATAGCTTGAGGGGTGAGAAAGGGCTCTCAACAGTTTGATTGGTTGGCTGAAGCATG